AGGTGACCAGCAACACTGTCCACCACCTCCTGCCCATTCTGACCCGCGAGGACACACGGTCTCTCTGGCAAAGGGGCAGGCAGCACGTCCACGCCTTGTCCACATCTGCAGACCCACAGTCACCCTGCACACCCCGCACCCAGTGTGCCCCGAGAACCGCTCTGGGGTCCACCGCTCTGGGGCCGGGCTGCAGGCGGGGCAGTGCTGCCCATCACACGCTGTGCCCGGGACCCTGGCTCCTCCGGCATGTCCTCAGCTCGTGGGCACAGACCGGGCTCTGCCCCTCTGGCATAGCTGCTTTGGGAATTGTCAACAAACCGCGCACACACCTGCCCCGTGCCTGCCCGGGAACCCGTGTACCAGCACTTCCTTCCTGCCCGTCCTTCTCTCCAGGATGGGCACACGCGTCCGCCGCACACTGTCTAGATGATTCCTGGGTCCTCACAAAGCCGGATTTGCACTGAATCTGTTCTGTGTCTACTCTCATCAAAACACATGAAGATGGCCATTTCATTTGACTTTATTATTTTTGTGGTCCTAGGTACGGAACCCAGCGCCTCCAACATGCTAGGCAAGTGGTCTACCACTGAGCTACGCCCCAGCCCAGCCCTGCTGTTTTTTTGTATTGTTTTGTCTTTGAGACAGGGTCTCGCTGTGTAGTGCAGGCTGGTCTTGAAGTTATGGCACTCCTCCTGTCTCAGCCTCCTTAGTGATGGGATGACAGTTGTGTTCCACCACACCTGTTTCAACTGCTGTTTTAAATGTAGGTTGAAACAGCAAAATTTAAGTGATTTAGCTGGGCATGGTGGTGCACGCCTGTCAACCCGGCACTCAGGAGGCTGAAACAGGAGGATCACTGCAAGTTCCAGACCAGCCTGGAATACATAGCAAGACCCTGTTTAAAAAAAAAAAATCTAAGGGTGCTTAACAGCAGCAACCACCCTCTCCTGAATGCCACCGTGCACCAACACTGTGCCCAACCCCATGGCACAGGGCAACTGCCACACAGGCAGACCCCAGGACAAGCCAGTCCGACGCGGCAGGGAGCCACAGACACCCTTCTCCAAGAGCAAGGTGCCCGCTTTGCAAAGACCGGACTCGGGACTGGAAGCAGCTAAAGGGCCCCATGGGCACCTCCACAGCTGCGTCCACCGCTCCTCCTGGGGACGCTCACTCCCACCGCGTGGCCAGCCTGTCTCCCTGTGCCAGCCGCTACACGGCACAGACAGGACGTTTCTGTGACCTCGACTGCCCGCCTCGGCCTGAAAGTGACGGAGGATGAGGTGGGGATGAGGGGCGTGCAGTGGTTCCAGTGTGGACAGTAACGGGGTCTATCGATCCAAAATAGGGAAGCAGGGGCCACACTGCCAAAGGGAGCCCCCCGCGGGCCCTGGCCCGGCCCCGAGTTCTGCGACCAAGCGGCACAAAGGCGGCCTGGGCCGGCTCCACGTCCACACACGTGTGCACAGGGGGAGACGGTCGCCCTCCAGGCTAACACCGGCTTCTCTCTCTGCTCTTGGTGGCTAAGCTCTTACCTCCCCAGGGAGGGTGGATCATGCGGGTTGTTGCTTGCTGCTTCCTGCCTGCGCTGCCATGGACTGTTTCTCCCTTACATGCCCCTGGAGCCTGAAAGCTGTGGGCTGCAGCCTCCACAAACTGCGAGCTAAGTAAACCTTTCCCTCTTTAGCTTGTCAGGTATGTGGTCTCAGCAACGAGAAAAGTAACAAGACAAGGTATGCACCAGCCCGCCCTGCTCAAAGCATTTCTTAAAGGTCACGGAAGCCACCCAGGAGCTCTTCCCTCAAAGTACACACACACTCACCCATCAGGGCAGTTTTGAAGGAAAGTTTCGTGATAGCATTTTTGGGGTGGGCTGGGGACAACCCAAATAAATGTCCTGCAGCTGGAACGCTTGACTCACACGAACAGCGCCTCACCAGGGAGTCGCGGGGCGAAGGCTCCGGTGCTGTGTTGGAGGTGCACACCGGTGCCCCAGAAACGCCGCGGTCTCCCAGCAAAGCCTGAGCATTAACCCTGCGTAGAGGGTTCGGGCTGTTTGCTCTTCTCTGTGTTCATCTGCATTTTGAACTTGCCGTGTGCTCTCTTGTCCGGTGCTGTGTTTGAATCTCCCGGCCCGGGCTCTGGCCTCTCTTGGCCGTGGCGGCATCCACGGTGGCTGCTGGCCCGCACATGGGAGCACCCCGCGTCTCCCATTCCCGGGCTGACAATTGCCTGTGGTTTTTATGGGCACGGCTATTTATTTTCCAATCAGAGGCATTGAGCGGGGACTTCTGCCCTAAACTGGTAGCTCAGGCAACTCTGAAGCGTCTGAGTGTGAGGTTTTGTGCGGAAGATTTAGGAGGGCAGCTCCCCGCCTGCTTTATTGGCTTCTTTTACATATGTATGGCTGGAGCCCCGGGCTGCTGGGACGACCTCCCCAAGCCGGGAACTCAGAAACTGGGGACCTTGGAGCGGACTCAAGCCAGGGCCCCTCGCCCCCACCTAAGCCATAGCTCTGGAGGCCCCGTCTAGGGACCCAAACTCCTCTGAGCGCCAGACCAGTGCAGCGCTGGGGCAAAAGGGCTGGAAGGGCTGCTAGCTCATGTTACAGGTCCTGTAAGGAATAAATGTAGGAGTGCCATCAAAGTGCTGAGCTCAGTCCCCGAGCATAGTAAGCACCTGAGCCTCAGTAACTTATAATTTTCCTTCCCTCCCTCCCAAGCTCCCCTCGCCCTGGTCCTCTTGCCCAAGGTGTGCTCATGGATCTTGCACCTGGCCCGGGACCCCGGCACCTGGGCCCCTCTCCGCATCCCCTCCCTCACCCTGAGTCCCGCAGATTCCGCAGCTCCAAACACACCCAGGGCCGGCCGTGAGCAGTCTCCATCGTGGCCCTCTGCTTCCTGCGGCCTGCACAGGACAATAGGCCGAGCAGCGTGTATGTGTCACCGCGGCCCCTCCTCCTGAGGGGCTGAGCGCAGATGTTTCGGCCCTCACCGCCAAGACAGAGCGCATTGTGTGCGGGCACCACACAAAGGCCGCCGGCCCCGCGCCCCCTCTTTACGCATTGATTTATTAGGCCAGGGATGAATGAAAACGTAATTAATATTACTGAAGCATTAGAGTCTATTTAATTTAAATGCCACTGAATATTTCACTGGGAGCCAGGGGTGACAGTGTGCTCCGGGCCGGCTGGTGAAAGCCGGGGCCATCTGTTACCCGCAAGGAGAGGGACCCGGCCGCGGTCTGTGGACATTCCAGAGGTCTGGCCATCACTCAACTCAAGGGCGGCACGCTGCCTTCCTGCACTCGCACGAGTCCCTGCCCTGGCCCCTGCTCGGCGGATGGGCAGGGCCAGGGGACGCAGGAAGTCAAGGGACCAGCACAGCCCAAGAGAGCTCTTGGGAGCCCAGAAGTCACAGGAGGGAGAGAAGGGAATGCTGTCGTGTTGAGGAGCAGGCTGGCCAACCAGAGCTGCACTGGCTGACCAGGTAGCCACCATCCACCAGCCCGGCGTGGTGGTGCATGCTTGTCATTCCAGCACTCGGGAGGCTGAGGCAGGAGGATCACCATGAGCCTGAACCACATCAGGAGGCGCTGATGTGTTGTCCAAGCTCCAGCTTCCCAGTTCAGGACAGTACAGGCTGTCATCACTAAGTCTGTGCACACAGAAAGGCGTCACACACAAGTGTGTCCCTGCAGGGAGCAGAGGAGTGGATCTAAAGGTTCCGGGGCCAGGGTGCGTGAGGAAGTCTCTAGCAGCCGGCAGGCAGGACCCCTTCCACCCTCACGGTCACAGGAGCAGCAGGAGTGCCTCCCGCGGTGGGGCCCTTGCTCCTAACTGGAGTCCGTGGTTGCCTGGCTTTTCCCTCGCACCAACTTGCGCCAGGGCACTGCGTGACTCATACTTTGTGGGCCAATTAGCTGGTGAGCAGCAGAGGTAAGCAGAGGTGGCCTAATTCAAGCCATCACACCTCCCTCGGAGGGCAGACAGCCAGCTTCCGTCAGCACCACACGACCTTCGCGCCAGCCCGCGCCAGCTCCAGTTCCCACAAACGTCCCCAGGGTGAGCCCACAGCTGTCCCTGCCGGAGGGACATGGGACGGGGAGCAGCATGAGCTCGCTGGCCTGCGTGTCCCGGTCACCTCTGCGTCTTGGCGTGGGTCCCGTGGTCACCTGCTCTGTGCCTTGGGAAGCACCTGGTCCTGACATTCTCAGATCAGCCAACGGGCCTTTTGTGACTCAGTTTCCCTCCTCAAATAGGGCAGGGGTGATGGCGCTTGCCTGGTTCACCACACAGCCGGACTCGAATGAGCCTGCATGTGGAAGCACTCTGCACAGATAAAAGTGTAATCTGGAGGAGGCTGTGGTGGCCCACGCCTATAATCCCAGCACTCAGGAGGCTGAGGCAGGAGGACCACCACAAGCTCATGGCTATGCCTGGACTACATAGGGAGATCTTGTCTCATAAAGAAAATGTGGCTTCACAGGCTGGGGTGAGGCTCACGTGAGACCCTGTGTCCCAAGCCCAGGACAGGAAATGAAACAAAGTGACCCTCTGTCAGGCCCTGACTGTGCATGACTCACTCACCTACTCTGAGCCTCAGTGTTCCCACCCAGAAAATGGGACTGGTGAGTTTTGAAGGCAGTGGGGCCAGCCTGGCAGGAAGCAGACGTCTAAATGTGGCAGCCTGAGCCCTGTCCCCTCCCCGAAGGACAGGAAGCGCTTGCTGGACAGAAAGTGGGGGCGGAGACCACGTCCTCATGCCCTCGCCAGCTGCTGCACCCCCTCACTCTCACGGGCCCTGAAGCCCTGAGCCACTGGGCACCTCTCCCTGCCTGTCCCCTCCGTGCTCCGAGAACGCTCTGACTCAGCCGCCTACGCTGTCCTCTCTGTCCTCCTGTGACCTAGAGACAGCACCGCTGCAGCTGCCCCATCCACAGATGAGTTATGATCAAAAACAGGCTCAATGTTTAAATTTTTTAAAGTTTATTACAACAAAAATGCACCCCCTCGAAGCCCTCCCGCCCCTCGAGCACACTCATCCCCTCGTCCTCGACACTTCCTGCAGGCGCTCTGCAGGGCTCTGTCCCAAGGGTCTTCCCTGGTGCTGTCCTGGCTGCCCCAGTGTCTTGAATGGGTTCAGAATGTCGACCTTTCGTGGTCATTTTGACTTTGGAGAAGAGCCGGAAGTCGCACGGTACCAGGCCTGGTGACAGGTGGATGAGGCCACGGCGTCCTGCTTTTATGAGCTGCCTTCCCCTTGGACGGTGCTGGGCAGGGGCACCTGCCGCACTTCTGATCACTCCGGGTAGTGACACTCAGGAAAGAGGACTCCGGAGCTGCTGCGGACGGCGGCAGGAGCCATGGCAGGAGCCGCGGCACCGAGGGGAGGGCTCGGAAGGGCTTGCACGGCGACCTGTCTTTTCTGTCATATTTGTATCTTTTCAATGCTCGCATTCCCCTTGGCTTCCCCTCACTCCTCGCAACGCTCCCTGTGTCCAGCCCCCGCGTAGCAACGCGGCCCTGCACACACGGCCGAGATGTGTGGCCGTGTTTACACCACACCCTCCCTCCGGCCTTCAAGCTCTGCCGGACCCTGTGAGGATCGGGATCCGGTGAGTCCATGGGCGAGTGCTGGGTGCTGCGCCCCGGCGGGTGGGGACCCTGCCCTCGGGATGTGCGGCCCAGCCCCGTGCTCTCCTGGAGGAGGGGATGGCAGTGAGTCCACTCTCCCTCTGTCGCCATGACCTTGCCTGAGGTCTTTGCAGATGGCGTCTTCCCGGGACAGAGCCAGGTCCACTGCCCACCGTCCCAGGACTGCTGAGGTCCTTTCTTTCCTTGGGGAGCGATCCTGTGATTGTTCTGTGTCCTACAAAACACACAGTATAGAACATTAGGAAGGGACAGAGAAGCAGGAAAGGAAAAGGGTGGCCTGTGGGCCCTGCGCCCGTATCTCTCCCGTGTGGACACACAGGACAGCCCTGCCTGCCGCCCCCAGAAGAGAGCTCAGCCTTCCGTTGCCCTGAGACGCCCGAGGGAAGCTTGCGACAGCACGGTGCCGTGTTCCGGTGAGCCGGCACCGTCTCAGGATAATTGTCTTCCATGCTGGGGGTGGAACAGGGGCCACACATGCTGGGCAAGTGCTCTGCCACTCAGGGATACCCCCACTCTTTTATTTTTCATTTTGAGACAGGTCTCTCTAAGTTGCCCAGGCTGACCTGGAACTTGCCATGCTCCTGCCTCAGCCTCCCAAGTAGCCAGGATGACAGTTGTGTGTCACCACAAGTCTCTTCGGCTGTCTGTGACTCACGAGGGTCCTGAGCTCTGAGGCCCGGCACGGGGGTGGAGTGGGAGCAGGCTGAGCCCATCTGCCCCTTGACCTGAGCCACCCCGACCACAAGGGCGCGGAGCCTGTCATGACTCCGAGCTGAGTCGGCCCGGGGCGCTGACGCCAGTTCTGTGTGTGGCTGCCGCTGGGGACATCCCGGTTCAACAGGAGGGTTAAGGCCGCCCAGGTAAACAGAGAGCGGCCACCTGGACGCGGACACCCTCAGGGACAGGACGCAGCCCTGCGGGGCCTCCTGCCTGCCAGGCACCCTCTTCCGCCTTCGGGCGGGGACGAAAGAGGCTTTGGCAGCAGCCTGGGCCTCCGGAGCTGGGAACACTGAGCCTCCCGGCCGGTCTGGGAGTGGCACAGGGCGAGGGTGCGGGTGTCGGGAGGGCGTCTCCCAGCAGGCGGGGGAGGGGGCCCGGGGTGCAGCCGGGGGGCCCAGAGCTGCCCTTCCGCCGGGCTGCAGGCGACCTCGGAAGTCAGGACGGGTGGCCTGGGGAGGGCGGAGCCTCCTCTGCTGCCGACTGCCACCCTGTCTGCCGCCGGCTCCGCCGCCACTCACAGTGGACACCAGGAGGCGCTTGTGCATTGCGGCCAGGACTCCGCGACCTGGGATGGGCACAGGGACAGGGACAGGGACGGTGCGAGGCCCCAGGTTCGCAGGCGGGCCGGCCAGGCGGCCAGGAGGAGCGGCAGGAGGGACGGAGGCTCGCGGCCTTCTCTCAGTGTAAACACTGAGAGCTTTCCTTTTTTAAATCTTTTACCATTATTTTTAAAATTTTTACTTTTATTAGTTTGCAGTAAAAATGATCACGTTCGCCTCAGGGAGCTGAAGCAGGGACGGACAGCGTCTCGGTTCCTTCTCCGCCTTCCCCACCCCTACCCGCCTCGGTCTCCTGCTTCCTTCCCCTTTGCAACAGTCTGTCTCCCTGGTTCCTGTTATCTAGTTTTTATTTTGTTCTTTAACCTATTTACACTTCAGGTTTGCGTGTAAGAGAAACCCTGTGATAACTAAGCTGTGTGTCTGGTTTATTTCCCCTAACATCAGGGTCTCAAGGTGCATCTGTTTTCCACACACGACGCAAGGCCATCCTTCTTTACGGCAGAGTAGTACTCCACTGTGCAGGCACATGCATTCTTTATCCACTCTTCTGCTGATGGACGCCAGGCTGCTCCCAGGATTTGCTGTCACGAGTGCTCAGTTTTGCCGTAGCCGGGGGTCCCTGCCCTGGACCCCATCTGGGGCATCCTTGGAAAGGCTGTGAGGCTGTTAACACCAGGAGCCGGGCAGCATGGCATCAGCTGGCTTCCCGGGTAGAAAAGGACATCACAGGGGAGCCTGGTGTGTCCAGGCACAGTCTGCCGTGACGGCTGCCGATGCTGATTTATAGGTTTCCTACACATCCCTGGGATAGGAGAGGCCAGAGGAGCTGGACGCCAGGCACGGGGGCTGGAGGCTGCAGAGACAGCAGGGGAAGACGCGGGGGTGCTCAGTGTCAGGCCATGGGAGCTTTACAGAGTCGGTGATGATGCACCCACACGAGAGAACCAGTTCCCATTGGTTTTGTATGATTTTACTCAAATTTTACGCAATTTGAAATCAATAACAAAATTTTAAGAATAATTTTTGGCTTTAAGTAGCATAAAAATGCAACTCAATCTGTTTAAGGTAAACAAAAAGTAACTTACCTTTAAAAAACTCCAAACCTCACAACGCCCACAGATGCTATGGCTCCAGCCATTACACACAGGAAGGGCTGTGCATGATAAAAGAGGCTTCTCCCAGCTATCTGTCTCCTTCTACCGTTCAGGAAACCCATGCCCCAAGTCCACACCAGGCTCACCATACTTCAGCCAGAATGATCTCACGTTGGTCCGTGCCCTGCCGCGGCTGGGGAAGGGACTGACTTCAGCTAAGGCATTTGTCTTCCCTGGGGGCCTGAAGCAGGGTCTGCCTCTGCCAACAAAGGAGAACAGAACAGTTGGGGAACAACTACCAGCCATTTGGCCCAATACGTCCAATAAGGAAATCAGGCTCGTGTGTGCACGTGTGCGTGTGCGTGTGTGCGTGTGTGCGTGTGTGCGTGTGTGTGTGTGTGTGTGTGTGTGTGTGTGCAAGCCTTCCAGCATTCTGACACTTCCGAGTTCAGCTACTTTCTTTTGGTCATCTGGTGGTCGGACGAACTACAAGACATCCAATTCTTTCCTAAGGCGTGGAGACAGTCTCACTGTGTCGTCCAGGCTGACCTTGAACTTTCGGCAATCCCCTGCTTCAGCCTCCTGAGTGCTGGGGTCACAGGCACGCGCCACCACACCCAACGGACACAATTTCTAGTTGTGTTTAGTCCAGCTGAACAGGACGGCACCTGCGACCCAGAAAGGACCCTGACCGGGCACTGGCGCCTGTCTGAGGACTCTCCCAGGGAAGCAAATGGAGGACAAAGCTAGGGGCAGGGCAAGAGCTGGCCCAGAGTGGGACCAGACCAGACCCACAGCCCCTGGTGACAAAGGCCCGGCCACACAGATGCACCCTCGTCCGAGCAGCGCACAGATCCTTGGAGCGTGTGGCCTGCTCACGGCGGCCCTGCCCCGGGCCCAGGGTGGCCGGCACCTTGCAGGAGCAAGGCCGCGCTGAGGGAGCACTAAGTGCCCCCAGCCAGCCACTCACAGCCAGAGTCCACACCGACCCGAGGTCCCCAGTGGATCTGACCACAGGTCCCCGAGTTCCTGGCCACTCTTGACCAGGTCAGAGTGGGTGTGGATGGCCCCCACGCCTCACCCTAAACTCTCACTCGCACCCCAGTTCAGCCATGGGGCCCAGGGGCAGTAGGCAGGGCCTAACCTGCGCATGATCCCAACCCCACGGAGGGGACTCTGGCCCCAAAGCACCACCCACACCTGGGATTTCTGCCTGAGACCCAGCTTCCCGAAATCTCAGCAGGGAGTGGAGCTTGGCCGATTCCCTTGAGCTGGACCCTGCGGTCCACCCACCTGCAGGTAGATCTCACCAGTTGCCCGCAGTGCCCCAGGGATGTGGCTTGGTGGGAGGACACAGACCAGAGTTAAATGTGCACCCACCCAGCCTGCTGAGCGCAGGCTGGCTTATTGCTGTGACCAGGTGTTTCCCATGGCGAGAGTTACCTGTTTGCAAAAATACGCAGAGGACATTGAAGCCTCCACTGGAACACGACGGGAGGCCTCAGGAGGTGGCCACCGTGACTCTGAGGCAAGAGGTCAGGGTGTGGTGACCTGGCTGGGCAAGGGGCGTGGCTGTCAATCACAGAGACCCAGAACCCAGCTGCAGAGTGGTCCCCAAAGCCCTGCACCCGGGCCAATCAGAAACCACTGTCTCCTTTCCTCTCACCAGGGCTCAGCGGGCTTTGGACCGGACGGCCTGGGCCCAGCTGGCCTGCAGAGCGGGAGACAAAAAGACACTGACCGTGAGACCAAGCCTGTGGTCCCCCTGTCCAGGGCCCACGCTGCACCTTGCAGGGCGTTTCTTTTATATCAGTGACATGGTAGCCCCTTGTCCCTTACACGCGCACACACACACACACACACACACACACACATACACGCATGCACGCACGCACGCACACACACACGCATGCACAGTGTCTACCAGACACTCAGGTAAGGAAGCAGGACAGAAGGGTACGTGATGAAAAGCTTCTCCGTGGTGCCTTGGGAAGTCTCACGTCCACAGCAGGCAGCCCTGTCTCACTGGGAGATGCAACCCAGAGGCGACACACACTGACCCACCCTGAAGTGAATGGTAACTGGATCCCAGGCTGAGCCTCTGCTGACTCAGGGGCCATCGGGCTGGTCCCAGTGTCCAGAGCACCAGGGGCCCTGCCAGGAGGCAAAGGGCGGGATCCTCACCCACAGAGACTGCGAGGAACAGAAAGCCCCAGATTAGACGTGTCAACAAAAGCTGAGTGTGGTGGTGCATGCCTGTAACACCAGCACTCAGGAGGCTGAGGCAGGAGGGTCACCTTAAATCCAAGGCCAGCCTGGGCTACACAGTGAGTCCAAGGTCAACCTGAACTACATAGTGAGTCCCTGCCCCTCCCCAAAAAAAGAAAGAAAGGAAAGAAAAAGAAACAACAGCAGAAGTGGACCTTACAGCTCCAGGGACTGGACAAGGAAGACTGAGGCCCAGCGAGGGTCCATTTCCTGGTTTGGGGCTGGTGCATTGGCACCGCGTCCCCCAGAGCCCCAGGAGGCCGCGCATAGGTCTGACCTGTGGGACTGTGCCCGCCCTCCAGGGACTTGGCCTTGGAGTCTCTTCCCCTCCTGAGGTCCCGCGTCCCAGAGCTGCAGGTGCAGTAGCAACAGGGTCTTAACCCAGGTAGCAGGGACAGGGGCTCGAGGCCGCCCTGGTGCAGGGGGTCTTCTCTGGCACCCAGATGCCCTGCAGCAGGCCGCACAGCAGGGTGCAGAGGTCCCAGCGCCCCATGTGCTCAGCAACGACCCAGGGGGGCCGAGACGGACGGTGCTGTGCAAGACCTCACAGGTGGCGCCGGGAGCCCGGGGCGCCTCGGCCGCTGGGGCTGTCATGAGGCGGGCTCACCGGCTCACAGTGCAGACGCTGGGCCTGGTTTCCAGGGCTCAGATGCTGGTTTTGTCACTTGTTTTTTTGTGGGGTTTTGTTTCATTTCATCGGGGTTTTCTGAGATAAAGTCTCGCTATGTAATTCAGGCTAGTCTTCAACTCACTGTGTAGTCCAGGCTGGCCTTGAACTCACAACTGTCCTGCCTCAGCCTCCTGTGTGCTAGGGTTACAGGTGCGCATCACCACACCTGGCTGCTGTGCAACTTATGACTTTGGTCTGATGACTTGGCTCCCCTCAAACCCTGCACCCCTGTGTGACAACCGTAATGATACTAATATAGCCACAGTCACTTCCGGCAGCTGCTGTAAAAATGCTACAAGCCTGGTGGCTCACACTGATAGAAATGTGCTCTTTCACAGTCAGGGGGGCCGGAAGTCCAAAATCAACTTCCTGAGGCAACACGCAGGTGCAGAGCGGGCCTCAGCCCCTCCCTGGGTTCGGGGAGAAGCCACCCCGCACCTCCGGGCTGTGGCACTGGAGTCTGCCTCGCCGGTCCCCTCCGTTCTGCTGTGAAGCGCTGTCCCCCATCCGCTCCAGGAAGGGTGTCCGTGGACGTGTTCACGGCCGCTCGGGACACGTCCCCACCTGTGGGACTCAATGCGGGGTCGGGAGGCCACTCCAGCCACCCCTGCCACGATCTCCGTGAGGGGGTCGGGCGAGCTCTGCCGGGCGCTGCCGCGGCTGGGACACAGCCAGCGAGGCCTCCTGTCACCAGGCGGCCTTCCCGGCTGCAGGTGTCCTCCGGAGGGACGGGGGCAGGCGGCCTGAAGCCCTGCTGCAAGGGTCGGGCCGCGCATGGGGGAGCGGGGAACCTTGGAAGGAGCTCAGAAGCCGGTGCCAAGTTCACTCTCGCTCCGTCAGCGCGTATTGGAAGATGCATCGTAGCCGTCGTCTTTCACGCCGTTTCTGAAATAAATATTCATCAGATCCCAAATGAAGACGATGTCTGTGCTCAGGGATTTTTAGTGTTTTCACGGTGGCTTCTGACGTCTCCTCTAACATCTAGAGGAAGCCGGACATGCTGGGCCCTCCACGCTGGGCTGCGCCGCTCCGGCAGCTCTGATCGCCGAGGGAGGCCGAATCCGCAGGGGAGCGGCCAGCCCTGGGAGCTCCGGCCAAGCCCTCACGCGCCAGCTTCCTGCGGCCGCTGTCCAGATGTGGAAGATGAGGAGCTGGACAGGGTGTGGCGCCCCGAAGCCGAAAAAACAACACGGAGAAGGAGCGAGGGTGAGAACGTGACCCCAGAAGGGCCAAAGGTCACCTGAAGCAGGGCGTAGTGGTGCACACCCATAACCCCAGCACTCTGGGAGGCTGAGGCAGGAGGAACGAAAATTCAACATTGGGCAAAATGAAAAGGGCTGGGCGCGTAACTCGATGTGAAATCCCTGGGTTTAATCCCCAGAACCGTAGAAAAAGAAAAAAAAGTCAGTTGAAAAGCTAAGCCTGGAAAAGCCCGGAAGAAGGAAAGTGGGAGACGCAGGGTGAAGGGCAGCGGAACGCCAGGCTGAGCTGTCTTCTCCCAGGAGTGACCGCGAGCCCTGGGAACCGCGGGCGCCAACCCATCGAGTGCGCATGTGCACAGCCCCGAGGGGCGTGGCCTCGCATCTCCCACTGGCGGGCACCTGGGCAGGTGGGCTTTCTCCGTGCTGGGCCTGGGCCCCCGGGGTCCCGCGGAGGCTGAAGGCAGAGCGCACGCAGGTGAGGAAGGGGCCGTGGACTGCACAGACCACCCTGGGGTGAGACCCTTCAGTGAGGCAGGACCGAAGAGCGTCTCCCACCCGTGTGCCCCGCTCCCTTTTCAGCCCACGCTCCTCTTCCAGGACGGTGTCATTTTTCCCAGCCAGCTGCATTTCCTGTTTTGCAACTTTTGCAGCACTGCCTGAGGGCTGTGCACGGCTCAGGTGACACCGCAGTGCCGGGCTGTGTGGAGCCAGGGCCACGGGCACTGCGTGGAGGGCACAGGTCTGCCAGTGTGGCCCTGTCACCATTCCCTTAAAAGCCAGGGAAAGGGCGCAGGGCCTGTGCTCAGATGACCCCGGGGTGGGCAGGGCTGAGAGCCCAGGGCAGCTCCCTCCTCATCCTCAAGAAGCAGCTGCAGAGTTCTGTCCACATCAGGTGTAGCTGAGGCTGCAGACACATCGCACTGTCCACACCGGCTCCGGGTCCAACCCATCCTGAGATCACGCCCGCCGCTATCCTCACAGAGCAGACCGCAGCGTTCAAGGTCAAGTCCAAGCACACGCTGATTTCACTTTTCCTCCCGCCCCAAACACACCAGCTTCGCAAGCTCCTTTCACAGCTCACCTAGGGCTCCCGTGGCCGACCGGAAGGCAGGGCCCGGCCCAGCGCCAGGAGTGGGGGCGGGCTCTGCCGCTGTGTGCCATGGCCCGGTCACAAGGCGACATTGCTGTCGGAAGTGAAGAAATGAAATCAGAATTTCCACGTGCCGCGGGAGGTATCGGGAAACAAGCACCAGGACGAGAACTAGGACGAGACGTGGAGAGGAGAAATACACGAGCCCTTTAGCGTGGTGCGGGCGCTGTCCTACCTGACGTATTTTCAGAACGGCTCAGCGGACCTGGCAAGCAGCATATGGGAACCTTTGCAATTTCGCTGTAGATTTAAAATTATCCCATAATAAAAGGGTTACTTCCTTTAGTATTTTTAGCGACTTTTCACACTTTCTAAGGAAACTCGTGCCCGGGGCTGTCGTTCTCAGGCTGGGTGCTGTGGTCTGTGTAGGAACCCCCGGCACGCGCTCTGGGGAGAGGGCAGGGGTCCCAGCAACGGATGGGTTACGGGAGCCAAAGGAGCTGCAGGCGAAGGCTTGAAGCCAGCGACAGTGCCGCACCTCTCCGCTGGCCTGGACTTGGACTGCGGCAGCGCTGTTTCTGAGCTTGTCACCTTTCTCATGTTGTTTGATTAAGGGTCTTCCTGTGTGCAAACCATTTCCCTCACACTCTTATTTTTTCCAACGCTTCTTGGAGGAAGGTGCCATTCACATCTTAGGTGAGGAAATTGGCTAAAGGAGGGATTTCCCGAGGTCTGGCAGCCGTGCAGCCATGGCCCTGGGCTTCAAACAGTGCCCCCAAGTGCCTTGATGGAGACCACTACAAAGCAGCTCTGAGCAGGATTTATATTAACCAACTGGCTTGCCATGTTTCCTTGTGAGTCTGCCCAAGACCTAGGCCTCTTGTCTGGAGACGGCCGCCTGTAAGGGCGGGTGAACCCTTAGTGCCTCACAGGACAAGACAAGGCCAGGTTAAGGACACCTGGCTCCAGCCTCAGTTTACTGTTAAAGACTGTAGCTGCAGGCATCTCACTGCTGCAGTGAAGGCCTTCCTGGAGATAAGATAGTTCTCCTAAATTAACACCATGTATTACTTGGAGAAGTCCTTAAAGGGATTCCCAAGTCCCACCGAGATCCTCGCATTTTCTTCACTATTCCCCTCGTTTGTTTGATAACATAATAAATACTTGCTGCCTAGAGAAGTTCTTTGTCTTAAACCCCAGAAAATCTTGAATTTTGTGCCAGGGTTTTTGATCCTCCTGGAGCCCTGAAATCAGTCCATGTGTCTCATTTATTTAAGCCTTCACTGTCCACTCATTTGGGAGATTGCAGGCCTGATTAGTCCACAATAACTAGGGGAAAATATTAACAGATAGTGCCTCATGTCACCTCTAGGCTCCTGTGGGTACACGCACTTTTCAGCACAGATCCACATGGGTAATCTGTATGAGGACTGTCAAAAGTTAAAAAAAAGAACTAACTAGTGATAGGAAACTATTGTGGGAGTTTAATCACATATGATTGTTCGTGGCCCTTTAAGAGTTCCTGGAGCGTTACTTTTCTATTGCTAAGACAACTTACTCGACACCTACAATTTAAAGGAGGAAAGATTTATTTTTGCTCAGCTTGTAGGAGTTTCAGTTCACAGTAACCTAGTTCCAAAGCAGGGTGGCATAGTAGAGGAGAAACAGTCCATGGCAGGGTAGGCAGGAGGCAGCAGCCAGCCTTCCCTCTCTCCCTTTGTATCCCATCCAGGCTACAAGCCTATTGGCTGGTGCCACCCACACCTCCGGTGGGGCTTCCATTACTTAACCACACCCAGAACTATGCTAAACCAATCAGTGGACTAATCCAGTTATCACCCACCCTGAATCCACATTCTCACGCCCTGATCCAGTCACCTCCCAGAAGGGCCGCCTATAAACACAGGAAGCTTTGGGGACATATCTAGACACAAGCCATAGCAATCGTCTATCCCAAACCAGCTGTTAGCCCAAGGACAAGGAGAATATTTGTGCATCTCTGTCTCATCTTCCCCTTTGTTGGGGCCATCCTGCGTGAAGAACACACTGGGCATTCATGCTCACATTCAGATCCTTCCTCTGCTCCTGACTTGTGGGCCACCTTGAATGATCACTCAACTGCTCTATGAAGCAGGCACCCTATGTATTAAGGGCTATGGGAAGAATGAAATGAGTTAATTAGTACAAGTGACTTGGTTGAATAACTGGCACTAGTATGCCTATCATTGTTATTATTGTTGTTGCAAGAGCCTTTGGTTCCTCATCTTGTGAAACACTGCCCAGTGTAATAATTGGGGCCATATCTGAAAATCAACAAGGTATCCTTTGACCTCATGTGTGGGTAGCTTTGCCCATTGGTTTGCCATAAGGAGCTGCCATATGAGGACCCTATTTTGAGCGCTCCCTTTTTATTTTACAGCAGTGCTAAATGTGAGCAGCAGGTCAGTGTTCATTCTCCCTGTCAGGAGTCTCTCAAGCACCAGCCCAGTGAAAGCTGCCTTCTCCTACCCAAGGGTGATATTTCTGTGCCTGGTGAACGTTCCTCTAGCTTTCAACATGAGCCAATTGGCTTTAATCACAGGATGTTATTGAAAAAGATTGGGCAGATTATGGGTAGTGATCAAGATAATTGCCAAGGAGAAACAAGGAAAAAATAAATGAATCTTCCATCTCAGGGAGAAACAAATGGCTTTATTATGGGGTCAGGCGGGATGAGCCTAAAATTCCACATCCAAGAGAAAATGCATAATGGTGGTTTGGGAGCCGGAGAATTTGGCAGCAGCAGCATCCATGGATCAAAACAGCTTTTAAGGGACAACCTCAGGGGGCTGCATTTCTATAAAAGGAACAAGATCCTTTCCTTGGTGTGGCTGAAAATGCAGAATCCCAGCCCACTGGAAACAGGGCCACCTGTGTCATCCTTCACACAGGACAAGAAGAAGCATGATGCCTCACTATATTCCGGCAATGGGCAATGGCCTCTCCGAGTTTTCAGAACCCATTTGAGCGAGCCTCAGGAAGCAGGAGAGAGACCTTGATGTAAAGCTGTGCAGAGTGCACTTCTCCAGGAAGCTCCTAACATCGGAGCAAATTCAAACCTTTGCGTTTGATTCCCGTTTCACACAAGGCCTGCGGTGTGGACCTGTGCTCGCCTGCACGGCATCGTAGGCCAGGCTAGCAGTGTGCCCGTCTCCTGCTGTGGAGCACTGTGCAATTCCCCGGTGTCCCTGAGCCTGCTGGCCGGGGCAGCACAGACCTCTGCTTTGAGAGAGCGCCGTGGCCCACCCTGATTCTCACTGAGGGCTGACCACAAATAGCCAGAAAGTCCTGCTATGAAGGGTTGGAGGAAAGTGACACAGACAGCAGGGTCTGCTGCCGTTTCCCCTGAAAACCTCCTGTCCCCACCCACTGGCTTGCTTCAGGATTACGCCAACAGTCCGCCCTGGTCCAGAGTGCGTCCTCCTCCAGTCCCTCCTTCCACTCTTAAGTGTTTGACCGCGTCCTTGTAAGAGCAGAAAGATGGACCCGTGTGATGAGGTTGGTCCCGATCGCTCCTGGTCTTGGGCTGGGGGTACCTGGGCATCCCCGGACCCTCACAGGGCGCTTGGTCACCTCAGCCTCTCAGCTTCCTGAGGACGTCCAGGCGGGGGTCTGAGGGCTGGGACAGCATTCCCTTGGGGCCCTCTGGGGAGGACCCTGAACCCAGGGCAGTGACAAGTGCCACTGAAACACTGTGCAAAGCCAGCTGGTGATGTTCTCCTTTCACAAGTGTCACCAGCCCCTGGAACCCGCTCTGCTGACCCTGAGGTGGTTTATTTATTACCGAGGGAGGTTAGATGCTCCGGTTTCCTAGCAAGACACACTCCCCATCCGCATCTCAGATTCCTCCTCAGCGCAGGACCTGAGTCCATGAGTCAGTCAGGCATCGGGAACGACTGAGAAGGTGAATGCTGCAGGCTCGGAGTCAGTGGCATCAATAATTACTGGAGTTTGGTTACATCAGTCGCTCTTCCCACCAACTCCTGTAGGTGGAATCTGACTGGAATTGCTTAAACCTTCGCATTATTTCTCCTTTTAGCAATTTCAGGCTTCAGGCTTCATTAGAACAACTTTGGTGTCCTGCACGGTTGTTCTATCCAACATGAATAATTAATTTAGTGGACAAAGGGCCGCTAATATATTATCTCATACCTGTCACATGCACATGTACATGTGATCCTAATGGTACTATTTTTGGGACTTGCACCCCAAGTCACAACATTTGGGTTTACGATCCATGCCAAGGACACGGAATGCCAGCTCTCGTCCCGAGCTCTCAGAAAGCAAACACCTTTCTAGGACCCAGAGGATGCACAGGCACTGTCTGCGGGGTCTCCTGCTCAGGTTCACACCTCCCCCAGCCTCTGTCTCGCCCCAGTCCCTCCCGGCCCTGCGATTCCCAGGGGTAGGTCTGACTGTTCGTTCTTCATCTGTCCTCAAGGCCTGTCTGTCTGAGACTCAAGCATGGTGGCTTTTAATTTTGGGGTGCCTAATGTGAAGAAAGTAGAACTGCTCTGGATGGCTCCTGCTCGGCCTCACCACAATAGTCCAAGTCCCTGAGTCCAGTGCCTTCGTCTCTCAAAACGTGCTTAGCACATGGTTATGATGAAAAGCAAGCAAAACTGTGAGAGTAACTGTATACCTGGTACTATGAATATATTCGGTATTTACAATGACATATATAATTGTAACATATATGGTATCACATATATAATTGTAGAGTAATTGTATATACGGTATTCATAATACCAAATATATAATATATGGAATATACAAACTGAATATGCATACCATATATAGAATATACAAAACTAATTACCAGGTGTGGTGAGCCATACCTGTTATCCTGACACTTGGGAGGCTGAAGCAGGAGGGTTTCTATGAATTTGAGGCCAGCCTGAGCTCTATAGCAAGATCCTGTCTCAAAAAAAATAAGTAAAATAATATATAATACTATTCATTCATTGGAAGATAGATAGATAGACAGACAGACAGATATTGCATCACAGTCACCTGCCAGAATACCACGTTTTTGTTATTGTTTTTTGAGACGGGGGCTTGCTGTACAGTTCAAGCTGGCCTTGGACTCACTATGTAGGCCAGGCTGGCCTCAAACTTGGAGCAATCCTCCTGCCTCAGCCTCCCCAGGGCTGGGATTGTAGGTGAGCTCCACCATACTGGGCCAGAATACCACTTACACCCTATAGAATGCTATGAGCTATGAAGGAGAAGTCTGAACCAACCCACTTATGGGGAGAAGATCAACTGAG